ACTGTCATGTTTCTAATACTTGTTTCAGTCTAGATGGATACTATTAGTATCTTTTATAAACAACTTTGTGTATTAAGTTTGGACAGTGGGAAGCAAATATGAATTTCTAATACGAATTTACCTACAAATTTTATAAATTGTTCTGTTTAATAAAATAAAATATATAATAATTCTAAATTAACATTCGGATATCATTGCCTTGTCATAGGTTCCTATGGAGTACAATCATCTGCAGGAAATTCCCATCATTTCATTGAGAAATAGGCTTCTGCTGTTGCATCACATTTCTGAACTCTTCTGTCCTTGCATTCCAATGTTTGATCTTGAAGGAAGACTTGATGAAACTGGCCAAGGACCCTCAATTGGGTTTGACACATTACGGGGAATACTGATATCACAGGGAAAGGTATTTATCAGAATGTTTTTAAGTGAGTGATTTGTAACTGTAAGTGAAATGTACTGTTTGAACTGTTTCTGAAGAAAATAGAACTATATATGTCAATTTGTTCTGTAAGTAGTATATCAAATATTTGCATTCGGATTATGCAAACTTCTTTCTTTTTGAATGTGTTCTTTTTGTTATGTTTTCCTCAGTTCTTCCTCATAGTACTTTTTTGTGTTGCTCTTGAAAATAACTTTACACTGTAATTCTTTAGCTTGTATTCAGTAGATGCTATCCTGAGGGAAAAAAAAAAGATAGGTATGAAATGGACATTGTCTGCTTTTTGTATTTCAGTAGTCATGATCAGGTGACAGACTAGTTGATCCAAAGCTCTATGCAGGTACAAACTTCTTTTAGACTGGGCTAAAAGTGAAGACACAATACCTAGAAGTTCAATTTCAAAGCAATAAAGAAAGTGGATTTTTATAGTTGTAAGTAAAGTCAGTCATGAGCAAATCCAGATAATTATAATGCTTCAAGGCTGCAACATTTATTCAAAACTTCAGATATTGAAAGCCTTTAAAAACATGACTTGCCTTCAGTATGATCATCAGTTTTGGATCTGAATTTTCTCACTGTCATAGTAACTTGTCTAACAAAAAAATGATAACCTTATATAAACAGACAAAATCTGCTGGGAGAGATATTTGAAAAGACAAGCAGTTAAGTGTCCCTCTGCAGTGCTGTTCTATGTCCTTAGGTAAGACACATGGCCTGTAACTAGACCCCTTAGCATGTATTATCTCAGGGCCTCTTCCTCTAGACTCCAATAAAATTGTGTAGTAGAGCAATCCAGCAGAATACATGCTTCACAAACCAAGAGAAAACCACACGTGTTTCATCAAAACCTAAACTGGGAAAAAAAGCAAAGGGAAATCCTAGCTATTCTGTTCATGACACTGTTACGTGTTAGTGCTATTAACAGGGAGTTTTAAGGTATATGATGTTAAGTATAAGAATGGGTGTGCAGGAGGTAGGTTCAACATAGTTTACTTTAGGAGTCTGCAGAACAGTTACAGCAGGGCTTCGGATACAGGATAAAATGTGAGATCAGGCATATTTTATGTCTAAAGCATTCAACAGAGACACCAGAAGTTGCAATGCTATATTCATATCTAACCATTTAAGTCAGGCTTACCTTCAGAAATTCTAAAGACGTAAAAATCTTTTTAAAGCTTGCTTGAAACTGACAGTGTAAAATTAGTTCCAAATACTTAGTGAGAGTACCTCAAATACTTGAATTTGCGTGAAAAGTTAATTTTTTTAGTTTTTATTTGTTGTTTATTTGTTGTCTTCCATAGCAAGATGATCTCATCTTTGGCGCTTTTGATTGTTTTCCTCTGACTTTAATTATTCTCCATATACATATGTTATTCTGGTATAAACTAATTTATACATGCACTCAGTGGCATGTTGATTGCTTAGTAATAACTGAATCTGAATGCAGTACAAGTTTTCAAGCTATGGTTTTGAGTGACACAGGAGAGACTTTCTTTACTTTTTTAGTATCCTGACTGTTTCAGACTTGGATTGTATTAGAGCAAATAACATGATCCTTAACTAACACCTCACAGCTTTATCTTCTGTTGCTTTTATTTTTAGTATTTCAAAAGTATTTGATGCTTGTTTCCATTTCTTCTAAAGAAAGCCTCAGAGGTGTTACGCCTCTTCTAGTTTTTTGTGATGTTCTCAGAAGGAAATTGCTGAAGGATTGTATTGCAGGATCAGTTTCTCTATTCTGCTGAAGAGTCTTTTTTTTTATTTTTCCCCCTAAGTTACACTAAGTATGTGTTTATCTGTGAAATATCATAGAATCATAGAATCATTTGGGCTGGAAGGGACCTTTAGAGGTCATCTAGTCCAACCTCCCTGTGGTGAGCAGGGACATCTCCAAATATGTGCAGCTTTCTACTTGATTGCAGTTTTGCCACTATTTTAATTTTTTGTGTGCTCCTTTTTTAGGAGGCAGCTTTCAGAAAAGTTGTGCAAGCAACTATGGTGAGAGATCGTCAGCATGGGCCAGTGGTAGAGCTCAACAGAATACAGGTATCTTAAGCTGAAGTGTTGATTTTAGTATCTGTATGTTTAGCCCACAGTGCTATACATTTGTCAAGTCTGTTTCAGCTGTTTGGTATCTGAGTACTGAAGAGTTTTGTCAGAGTGTCAAACAATGAAGAAGTGAATGCAACAAGGGCTGCTCATTTTCTTTTCAGTATGTTTTCATCCACACTGTAGTTGTTTAAGGGCAGGCGGACACTTCTTGAAATATTAAGTGAATGATTTGGACTCTAATGAGGAAAGTATGTCCTTGACAAAGGGCTGCCTTTTCAAAACTCACTACATTAGATAATTTAAGAGAGCAGTGATTCTGATGCTTTTCTTACCTTTCTGAATGGTCAGATGAATTATTCAGCTGTTGCTTTCATAACAGAGAACATGAAGAGGGAGGAAAAAGGGAAGTTAAAAAAAAAAAAAGCCCTTGAATATAATTAAAAATCAGGCTATCCTTTGCTGGTCATCACATGTGGTCATATTGATTGCAGAACTCTTTGATACAAAAGGGCTTTTTTCCTTATCATTGACGTTAGAAAATGTAATGTTGTGCCTTAGGCCAGATATGTCTTTTTTCCATCGATATTTCTGTAACATAGAATAGTAAAACATTGTTTTCATTTAGATGGACTGAAGCCTGGTCTTGCAGAGTTCTCGTGTATTTCTTTCCTTTAGTGGTGGTTTTCTTTTTTTTGTGTATTGTAAAAATAAGAAAACGTACTCTTTGTAAGGTTAGAATGGAGAAATTGTTGAACTATTGACTAATTAGTTTTCCATTAGTGAACAGAAGTACATCCTGTTGTGGCTGGACCCTGTTTCTGCTTCTTTGCCATTTTCTACAGGCACTCAAAATTTCTTGTTGTAATGTCATGTGATTAAAATGTGTTGTTTTAGTTTATTATTTGGGAAGTTGAAGCTGAAGAGAGTGCCAGAGATTTTCTCATTACTTTTTTTTATGTGTATGAATTCAGAAAGTCCGATAAAGCAGTGTAAGGATTTAACTTTTACATGGAAAACTAGTGAGTAGGTTTTGGTCTCATTTTCTAGTGTCCTTCTTCTACTGTTGAGTTAAGATAGGCTTTCCCTTGTATTTCAGTTTGTTACTTGAACCTGTTTTGAACTCTAGAAAAGAACTGGTAGCTGCAGGGATTCCCTTCTTCATAGCTTCTGGGGGAAATGAAATATTGCTGTAACACAAATCTGTCCTAAATTTAGCCAAGTGAAGGCTTAAAAAAGCCTGTTCATAATCTGGCCTGATTACACAGTACCAAGTACAGGTCACAATTTCTTGAGTTAGCTTTTGAGAAAATGAAAATGTGGACTCTTAAACTGTTTGATCCTTTATAATATTTCATTGAAGATTCAAAGCTGCTTTACATAGTCTTAAACAGCTAATATTCCTGAGGTCAAGTTTTACATGGACCGGATTCCTTTAGGGTAGATCACATTCTCTTTACATACTACTTGGCCCTGGATCTTTTCTATTGGGAGCCTTGTGATAGCAGGACACAGTAGTTTTATGTAGTTTTCTTGCTCAAGGTGTGTGAAATACAATGTGATGGCTGTACTGCAACTCACCCAAGTGCCAGCATGGTATTTCTATAGCATAAATTTGAGGGTAGAGGTTTTATGCTTTGAGGTGTAGCATGAGGACACGGTTGAATGCACAGAAAGAGTTTGGGACACTGTTGGAGGACTGCGTAGGCACAAGAAGCCAAACTTGATGTAGTTTTATCCATACTAGTTCTTGGGAATTAAGCGAAATATTCCAAAACACCACCTGGGCCTTGTTCTGGAAAGGTGTAATAGAAGTAGTTGAAGACTGAGCCAGAAAGTCAGCTAACAGTTACATGTCTAGACAGGGCTCCAGTGCTCAAGTTTACTTACTGACCCCCTTACTGGCAGATCAGATTTACATAGTATTTAAGTACCAGTGTAGCTCATGTGGTGTCAAATGGACAGTGTCTTATGACCTATAGGCAGACACATTCATAATGCTGTTAAATCATATCTTTGCCTTTAGATGAAAGAGATTATCATAGCAGTTGAAAGGAATTTCCTCCTTTTAAAAGAGAAACAAATTTCAGTTAAGGAGAGTGTCTGCATTCAGGAATGTAATAATGCAAAGGATCTCCTGGTTCAGTGTCCTCTGCTGTCAGGGGAGGAATGTCGCACATATGGATATATGAAATCCCGCTTTAAGAATGGTTTCTTCCTCCTCACTAGGGCTCGTTATTAAATGTGGGTTACAGAAGTCTCACTAGCATGATGATTAAAAATGATCTGATCTTAAAGTAGGCACAGCATATCAATGAATAAATTATTTGTTCTTTTGTGAGTGTTATACTTCAGTTTAAATAGCATGCCTCCTTCCTGGTTATTGTCTTTTCCCTTATCAAATGTGCTTTTGAAGAATACTTATTTTATGACAGCCTTCATTTTCCTACACTGATCATGCTAAGGTTTTTTTTGCCTGCTTGTGTAGAATGGTCTTTCTCTACGAATCTTTTTATGGTGTATTTTTTCTATAGTATTTCAGTTTGAGCATAGATAACTGAAACCTCAAGGTACGGGTGAGACTCTGTCTATGCTCTTGTAATTTTCACACTGATACTTCTCTACCTCTTCTGGAGATTGATTTCATGACATATCCTTGAATTGTGTTTGTTTTCTCATGGATCTCTCTTCTATGTTAACAGTACATATTTCTCTTTCTTAGCTGATTCCAGCTAATAGGCTGTCATCTTTTTGTAAACTTTGTTAGTCTCCGAGCACATGGCTTCTTGTACTACGTTTGTCCCAAGTTCTGTTGGGTTGGAGAGAGTCTCATAGGATGACCAGTATTCCAGTGGTAATTCTCAGGCTCCTTGAGACAAATATAAAGTTTTGTTCTTCAAATTCAGAGAGAGAACTTAAATTTTGGTCTTCATCGCTTCAAAGTGTTTTAATCGGACTACAGATTGACTTGAGTTCTCTCCGCCTTTGTTGCAATGGTTCTGCTCACAATACGTGATTATGCACTGAGGCAAGTTCTTGAACTTGATTCTTCCACACTTCACTGTATGCTGCTTTTGAGCTGCTGCTTTTCTCTATGGTCCCTGAAAAGCTGGTTTTCCACAAGCTGATATCTTCTGATGGCAGACTGTTTTATGAAAATCCTTCTTGGGCTCTAATCAACATATTAACTTGTTTTATGCTAAAAAGTTAACTCATCAGCAAGAAGGATGGAACTGTATTTTAAAAACTTGAGATACTGTATAATCTGTCTTTAATAAGGCATGTATTCAATGAGGGTTATATCTGACCCTATTCAGCCTATTCAGCAAAATAGATTTTACAAGGTGCTTATTATGTCTCTAAAGGGGATAATTGGAAACATAAGCAAGATGCTGTGCTCCAGACCTCTACAATAAAAAGCTAAAACACCTGTGGTGGGTTGTGGCCTAAACATTTTGCCATATTTCAGTGAAGTGTTTTACTCTTTGCTAATAACCTAATAAATTTTAATATGGGCATCTGCCTTTGTCAGCAAGGAATATATTAAGGTGTTGGCAGAAATGCCAATAATCTTTCATGGTGTTCTTACACTGCTGTGTTAAAAGTCAATATGTAACCATTCCTGCATCTAAATGATCACATTAAGTGAAAATTCTGTGTTGCTAGTAAATAGATACTAAATTAAATGTGTAATAGCAAATGTGCATGCCATCCTATTCAGTTCAGGCAGGATTGCTTGCCTTTTTATTGTCATTTGATTAATTTGTGGTTTAGGTCTAAGGTTTGAAAAAACAGTGAATTAACTACTGCTTTCATAGACCTTTTTGAGAAGACTCAGTGATTTCTTAACTTAAAATTTCTTGGGCATCCAAATTTCTTAGAAATCCATTGAATTAAAACCAGCTTGCTGTGATACAGAACATCTTATACATGAGGAGGACTTGAGTGTGTCAGCCTTTCAATAAAACCTGAACGAAATCTGGTGGATGTTTTATCAAAAGCATCAGAAGTATGCAGCATCAGAACAACTGGATTTTGAGGTGCACTGTAGCTTGGAGTGGGACCAAATACAGATTAGTGGGATGAGTCTGGATTATTTCTGAACGAACAGTCTCACGGATATTGGTGAACTATGGTGCACTGTAGGAATCCCTTTGCAGTCAGGGCAGGTTGAGAATATAAACTGCAGAACACCAAGGGGAAAAAAAAAAAATTATCTTGAGTTTTTCCAGCCTCCTGTTTACTTTCTGTTTCTTTCCTCTCTGTACTGGTGAAATGCTTTTTGTATTGTTATCCACTTTGTGTGCATCTGTTACAGCAAAATACATGGGATTTTCATTGCATGCCATTTCTTATGGATCTTCATCAAATCTTAAAATACACTTATTCTGTAGGTGCCTAAGAAACACGTTACTCTCTGTGTGTGTGTGTATACATAAGTATTTTGGTAGTGCTTACTCATTTTTAGAGGCCTCCAGTAACTATCATAGATGCATATTTAAATATTATCATTACTGAATATAAGAATAACATGTATTCAGTTATCTGGCCAACAACACAACCTCTGATCTGTCTTATGTATGAAAAACTTAGCCAGATTTGACATCAAATGTATGAGTAGAGATTGAATGCATTAGCCAAGTGAACTGCAATCCAGAAAAACTGAATTTACGAAGGCACTGGCTGCTGCTTCAGAAATAGGGGAAGAAAACTTTATGAACAAATTTATCATTGATACCCCTCTGTCTTTCTTTAAAGATGAGCAGACACAATGCTGTAGAGACAGATGAATGATGAACTGTTTGAAATTAAAGTACAGTATTGATAGTTGGGGAAATGTAAAATTTCTTATCTAGGGAAGAAAGCCCATGAGGTTGTCAGCTGAAGTGGTAAGAATCATTCTGTCTAGCTGCCATGAACACACCTATTGGTTTTGCATGTTTCCAGCTCTAACAGTAAAATTACTAAGGCCTAACCAACTTCCAAATTTTTAGTTCACAAAAAAAAAAGTCATCATTGTGGTCACTTGTGTTTGAACTAATAACAATGTCAGGTCATAGAAATTACCTAGAACAATCGTTCAGCCTTGTCAGGTCAGTTCAGGACATGTAGTGCTAGCGTCTAGGTAACCAGATACCGTTTTTCATGTTTGTGCAAATCCAAGCATTAGTTGAAAAATTTCTTCTATTACAGAGGTGCTGGAATTTGCAATGCTTGTAAATGGTGATAATCATAGTAATCGCTGTCAGTTAAACAGCTATGTGAGAGAGACAGGACCTATTGCAGTGCAGTGTAACCTGGAACCAGTAACTCTTTCTGCTTAATGTATAGATATGCTGTATTTTTGTATCAGAAACAAGCTGACAAAGTATGGGCTGGATGAACAGACAGTGAAGGGGTTGAAAACTAACTGAATGGCCGGTTCCAAAGCGTGATCATCAGTGACATGGAGTCTAGTTGGAGGCCAGTAACTAGTGGTATGCCCCAGGGGTCAATACTGGGTCCAATCCTGTTCAACATCTTCATTAGTGATCTGGATGATGGGGCAGGGTGTGCCCCCAGCAAGTTTACTGATGATACAAAACTGGGAGGAGTGGTTGATACACCAGAGGGTCGTGCTGCCATCCCGAGGGACCTTGACAGGCTGGAGAAAGGGCAGACAGGAACCTCATGAAGTTCAACAAGTGCAAAGTCCTGCACCTGGGGAGGAACAGCCCCATGCACCAGTACAGGCTGGGGACCGCCCAGCTGGAAAGCAGCTTGGCAGAAAAGGCCCTTGGGGTCCTGGTGGGCACCAGGTTGAACATGAGCCAGCAACGTGCCCTTGCCCTGAAGAAGGTTCATGAGTGTCCTGGGCTGCATCAGGAGGAGTGTTGCCAGCAGGTCAAGGGAGGTGTCAGCACGTGTGACGCCTCAGCCGGAGTGCTGGGTCCAGTGCTGGGCTCCCCAGTATGAGACATAGGGACATACTGGAGAGAGTCCTCTGAAGGGCCACAAAGACCATTAAGGGACTGGAGCATCTCTCCTGTGAGGAAAGGCTGAGAGAGCTGGGACTGTTTAGCCTGGAGAAGAGAAAGGTTAGAGGGCATCTCAGTGATACATATTTTTGCATACCTGAAGTGAAAGTGTAAAGAAGGTGGAGCCAGGCTCTTTTCAGTGGTGTCCAGAGGCAGTGACCACAAGCTGAAACTCAGGAGGTTCCCTCTGAACATCAGGAAACACTTTCTTCACTGTGGTGGTCACAAAGCACAGGCACAGGTTACCCAGGGAGGCTGGGGATTCTCTGTCCTTGGAGATATTTGAAAGCTGTCTGGATGTGGTCCTGGGCAGCTGGCTCTAGGTGGCCCTCCTTGAACAGTGGTTTGGACCAGGTGACCTCCACAAGTGCCTTCCGACCTCAGCCATCATAGGATTCTGAAGTAGTTCTGGGCTCCTAACAGCCTGAGATTTATAACTACTTTCATCCTCCTGGAGTGGATCACGATATGCAATAGCAGTCTGTGATACCTAGATCTAGGGATGGATATTAGATGGTACTGAAAAATACTGTAGTGCTGTAACTTGAAATTGGGTACTTTCTGTGTACATGTCATATATACAAGGTATGTTGTGGACCTCTGCACAGGTTTCACTGAACACATTGTATTTTATAAACATTAATCTTATGGTCTGATCTCCACAGCGATGCCAGCTGAAATATATTCTTATAGTGACTTTTATAATGTTCTTACTCAATAGGTAAAACGTTCTAGGAGTAAAGGAGGACTGGCTGGGCCTGACGGTACGAAGTCAGTGTTTGGACAGATGTGTGCTAAAATGAGTTCCTTTAGCCCTGATAGCCTTCTGCTTCCTCATCGTGTTTGGAAAGTCAAGTTTGTTGGTAAGAGGATTCTCCACTCCCCCAAACTTATTTTGCACTTAACTTTACAGTTTTCTTCAAATTTACTTTTTTGGAGGACCTGAAGGGACGAAGGGATATAGGAAAACAGTGTATGTGTGTAGGCAGAGGAAGGTGCTTAAAATGTTAGGAAGTAAAAAAGCCTTTTTAAATGACTTTATAAAAAACCTCAGGATTAGTGGAGATGTGTCTGTAATTCTCCTCAAATTCCAGGAGCAGCTCTTCTGCTTACAACAAATACTCTGCAAAACCTAAACCTGTTTTTCAGCTGTCTGAATTGGTAAATAATCCTGGCTAGCTGGCTTTACTGGTAGGGTTGTTTTTACATTTCACATAGCACTTTGAGCTTTTTGAGGAAAAATATTTTTGATTTAAAAGCCATTCTATCTACTGTATATAAGATATATAAAATATGTCTACTTTAAAATGTCACTTAGGAATCGTGTTGCTTTGACTTTCTTTTTCTACCTCTATTCTATTTCATTTTGATTATAACACAAAAATGTTAGTTACACTGGCAAAATAGTATTTTTGACTCTGTGATATGTTGTATAATCTTCTAAATAATTCGATTTACAATAAACTGGAAAGTTCCAAATATAAAACAAAACTTCAAGGGTTTTCTTATGAACAGATATGACACTGTAGCTTTTAGTAAACTTTTGTTTACTCGATGATTCTCATGGAAGGAAATACAGTTTATTTCAATATTTTGAAAGAACGTTTAATTTTAAGCCTTTTTTTCTTCTCCAAGGTGAATCTGTGGATGATTGTGGTGGAGGTTATAGTGAATCAATAGCAGAAATGTGCGAGGAACTTCAGAATGGGCTGACTCCTCTGTTAATTGTGACACCAAATGGAAGAGATGAATCTGGAGCAAACAGAGATTGTTTCCTATTAAATCCTGCTGCCAAGTCACTCTTGCATATGAACATGTTTCGTTTTCTTGGTAATTTCTTAGCAACATTCTAACATTCTGCTTGCATTACATGATCAGACTATTGGGAATGAAAAAAAAAATTAAAACCACTATGTTTAAACTTACAGGTGTACTTTTGGGCATTGCTATCCGGACTGGCAGCCCTCTGAGCCTCAACCTGGCTGAGCCAGTGTGGAAACAGCTTGCAGGAATGAACCTAACAATTGCTGATCTCAGTGAGGTAAGTATGAAGTTCCTGAGTAGGATATAACTTACAGAAGACAAGCAGACTCTAGCATAGTTTTTTCTCCAATGATTTCCTGGTTTCTATATACTTTTATTTTAACTGGTCTTCTATATTTTGAGCCAGTATATAAAGATGATTTGAACTCACTGTTAAAACCGTAAATTTGAGTCATTCAAAAGTAGTTAAATAAGCTGTTTGAATTCTAGAGCGTTCTCAGATCTTCTCATGGGTTTGACTAGACAAATGTTTGGGATCAAGCTCCTACTTTCCAGTAGACCTTTCTGTAGCTGTTACTGTTTGTTTATGCTGAGATGCAGTAACTGATTGGGTGCACACGCCTACACTGTTTTGAAGTAAAAGAACGGGAGTTCAAACTACTACTGAACATAGTTTGTGCCCACATACTGAACGTCACAAACTTTCAATTTCTGTTTACTGAGCTCAGTAGATGTGGAGTAAGTTAGGTCTTTGTTACAAAGAAGAGTTCTGTCTCAAATACGGTCATGTAGAAATATAGTTACTGTAAAAGCATAGAGTCATTTACTTGTCAGTAAGGGGATTCCTTTTGTACCAAAACCAGTATTGGACTTTGTACAGATAATTATGCTTTTAAGCTGTAAATCCATTTGCTTGTATAATACGGTTTCTTGGCAAATGCTCCCCAAAGGGGTTGAAAATCTAGAATGCATGCACCCTCTCACATCCCAGCATAATGAAATTTTATGTAAAATTCAAATCCATAAAATGACTCAGTAATTGAGTTAGATAGGTTGTGGTCAGACATTCGTCAGTGCTTTTGGTAGATGACACATGATGCACTGCTTCTGGTATGCGAGAGACACTGTTGTATAGTGCTAGTAAACTGGCTTTAACTCGGGCTTGTTATTTTCAAAAGGTTGATAAAGATTTTATTCCTGGACTTATGTACATTCGAGACAATGAAGCTACTTCAGAAGAGTTTGAAGCTATGAGTCTTCCATTCACTGTGCCTAATGCAAGTGGTCAAGATATTCAGTTGAGTTCCAAGTACACCCATATTACACTGGATAATAGAGCTGAATACGTGAGGCTGGCAATAAACTACAGGTTTGTTGAATAAGTCATTCAAATTGTTGACATAAATAATAATTTTCTTTTAAAAAAATATGTAAAAGCTTTTAAACAATATACTCTTTAACCTCTTATATACAAGTATTTTAATATTTTAATGTGATTACAGTGTTGATTTTTTTTGATTTATTTTAATCTATCCAAGGAGAAAAGATTAAACTTAAGTTTTAGGAAACAAAATAAACTAGCGGGTATGGCTCCAGATTTGAATAGTTGTCCCAACAGAGCAGTTTTATCCACTTGTAAAACTGGCTGCCAAATGCCCCATCCATCTAGTTCTTCCTATGCAATAAGGTAATAGTCTTGATCATCAAGTTCTTTGTGAAGAGAGCTTAGATTTAGTACTACTGCTCCCGCAGTTTTTCATATCATCAGTTACAGTCAAGAGAAGTCCCAGCTGAATTCTTACTCTAGTCTTATCTAAATTGGAATACACAAACAAAATTTTCATTCCTTGGACACCATAAAATAAGGCCAACACCTATATGCAGACAACTAAATCCACCCATAGGTGCCAAAAGCTGAACGTTGCACTGAAATCAGTGGGAAATAATTGTTCAGTATTTGAGAAGACAGACCTTCAGTTACTTAAATACCTAGATAGCTAATCTTGACAAGTACATCTAAGTAGCAACCATAGGCATCTTGTTACGTGAAGCAGTGGGCCTAGTGCCTATTGAAATATGGAAATTTAGAGTATTTGGATGAGAAACTGATTCATAGTTGTTTTATTCCCTCTGCTATAGTTAACTGTTTTAGAGAGCACTTGAGCCAGACTGTGTCATCTCTATATATTTGCTTATTAGTTTGTAGTTACAGTGTCTGCCAACAGCTACTGAATTACAGTCTTTGTTTTGTTTTGTTTTCTTTTAAATAAATGGTTATGAACCAATACTTCAACCCATTTTTGACATTGGAGAGAAACTTCATATGGAATGGATAAATTATATGTCTATATAAACTGTTACATTCCTTTGAAGAAATGGTTTTGTTCTCTTGCCAATTCTGGCTATCCTCAAAGGACACAAGCAATTCTGAAGCATTTTACAGTTAAAAGGACTTTGGGAGAAACATTTAAATGTTTAGATTAAGTATGAAGTTTTTTAATTATATGAAGCCTTTGAGAGAAAAGCTAGCACCTGAATAGAATCCATGTAAAAAAGTGGATGCAAAAGACTGAGTTTGTCCTGATGTCTTTGTCTATTTTGGTGATGACAAGCCTGAGGACAGGACTTGTTAATGATGCAAATCTCTGCTCTGGAGAGCTCTGTAAAACATCTCGGAAATTATTTGACAGGGGGAGGGGGGAAGCAAAACAGAAATCATGAGTGGCAGCAGAAGCAGCAAAGTGTTAGACTTATCTGTGTCTGTCTTGAAATACGACAACTCCTGTCCTCTCAGACATGATGTTTTAGTTCAGACCCATTTCTCATTTTTCTTTTACCATAATGTTTGTCTAATGTTGGGAATGTTTGAGGGCAGAGTTCCAAAGCACAGCCATTCTTTTCCCAAGAGCGTGTTGTTTCCAAATGAGGTGGTGTTTGTTCTTGCCCAGCACAGCATGTGAATAATACTGGAAATAAAATATCCTAAATATTGGGAGATACCTCTCCATACTGAGCTTGCTGTGCAATATGAATTGGTGTAGAAACTGTTATAAGTCAAGTATCTTGTGTGATAAATGTTTATTAATGTTCCTTGGGACGTAGCTGGGGACTTAAGGAGAATGGTTAAAGTTTCCTTGATATTACAGTAATTGCTAGAAATAATTGCTAGAAATGGCATTTACAGAAACTCTGAAAATGTGTCTTTGCAGACTTCATGAATTTGACGAACAAGTTGCAGCAGTTCGTGAGGGGATGGCCCGTGTTGTTCCAGTTCCTCTACTTTCACTCTTTACAGGATATGAACTGGAAACTATGGTATCAATTTCTGCTTTGCTAACTCTGTCAGACTAACCTGGAGTGAGATTCTTCACTTATATCTTACTAATCCAAACCCCACATTAAATACTGTTTACAATGATCGCTCTGTGATTGCAAACATCTTGTCCAAGGAAAGACTAGAAAATGTTTAATTGCCCTTTTGGTGTTAATAAGGTTATTTTGATAGGGCTGAGCAGTGATGTAATGAATTATTTCTGGAAGAAACAAAAACCAAAAAAACCAAACCCCCAAAAAACCCCCAAACAAACAAACAAATAAACCCATACAAAACAGGGACCTAGTAGGTGAATTGGAGATATTCATCCCAAGTAAAATGTTTAATTCTTTATGTGATTCAGGAATATGAAAGAAGGTTCATTGTTGTCCCCTGATGGGAAGATATATATTTAGTATTACTGTAATAGGAGACTATGCACAGCACTTCAAATATTTCAATGTTAATTTTGTCAGTGTAAAAGCTGATTAAATATTTTAAAGGAATGCAAGGAACAAATCACCTGTAACTGATTTGATCAGACTTTTGTAGCCTATCACTGAATTTTATTTTTCAGGTATGCGGAAGCCCAGATATTCCACTTCACCTTCTGAAATCTGTAGCAACTTACAAAGGCATTGAACCAACTGCTTCCTTGATACAGTGGTTCTGGGAAGTGATGGAGTCCTTCTCCAATACAGAGCGATCTCTCTTCCTGCGGTTTGTGTGGGGCAGAACAAGGCTGCCCAGGACTATTGCAGACTTCAGAGGGAGGGACTTTGTTATTCAGGTAAGGTGTATGGGATGGAGTGCGGGGTTTTTATTTTAAAAAGCTAGTAGTGGAGAAGTAGTAGCATGACATAACAAGAGAAGGGGCTGATTTCATTAAACTGTTTATGCCACATAACATTGTAGATTCAACAGTGCAACAAAGTCCTATAATGTATATAAATATTTTTCTCTTGACTTGGGCAAGTGGATATTCTTTTAATTTCCCAGCCATTTCCTTCTCTGAATTTTGATAGTTTTCCACTATTTTTGCTGGCATTTATTTGGCATTTCATTCAGCTCAGTTAATCATTTCAGCCAAATTAAAAACCCACAATCTTCAAATCATATTTTGGTAGTTGCTGAAGTAATACAGTCTTATTTAGATTGTTCCCAACCACATATATTCATAATCAAAGAAGCTCATATATGTCTGGTTTTGTTAATTTACTT